GTGGTGCTGGGGATTGAACCGCAGTCCCCGATGCTTTGCTAAGCTTGTTCTAAGTAGGTGCTTTAGACCACTGAGCCATCTCTCCAGCCCCTGTCTTTCATTTTTGAAGAGTTATGCAGAATAAGAAAAAAAATGAAGGGCCGGGGAGATGGCTCAGTGGAATAAGCGCTTCCCTGGCAAGTGCAAGGGCCTGAGTTCAATTCCTGGCTCCGGAAAAGATACAATAGATACTGTAAAATCAAAGAAACCACAAGAAGAGAAGGAAAAAAAAAAAAAAAAAAAAAAAGGAAGAAAGAAAGAAAAAATGAATCACACTACATAAACTTTCTATCGAAGTTGATCCTACAGCTAAGAGACAGAGAGGAACATCCTGCAGGGGTTCATTCTGATGTCCCTATTAAATGTGAATCACTCTGCAAACAAGCTCCATTGCACCCACAGTTGCTGACCCCTACAACAGAAGATTCCTCAAGAAGGATTATTTTTCTCTGTCTTCTCACTGTAGTGGAACAAGACTGTACTTTATTTTTCTGACTAAAATATGGTGCAGAACAGATGAGCTGTGTTTACATTGAAACTTATGGGAAGATGTGACTCAGTCTGACACCAACATCAGTTTGCGATGACATATATAGGGGTCAAAGAAGATTGATTCTATTCACATTGAAGTTTACAGGGAAAGTTTATCTGGTTCATGACCAATTCATATTCAAAATTGTAGAACTGTAGCACTAAACTTGTGAATGCAGGCACTGTTGCATCTGAGTGAAGCAAAGCTTTTAGTAAGCACAGGAACATTAAGCTCATTGCATTCTGGGTCCCCAAAGCATTCCTATGGCTTACTGTTTGCTACCACTGTGGCATTCTTACAAAATGACCTTCTCTGGGAGGTAAACTTCCATTACATATACAGGCAGCCAACTTGAGGATAAAATTGGGAGAACTGTTTGTTTTGTGTGAAACTTCATATGTGAATTGAGGCTTCTGGGACATGTTTCAATGCCTAATAGCCTCATTTTCACAGGATATAAATAGCAATTTAAAAGATATATTCATACCCAAAAAATGGGTCATTACATATCTGCATATTTATATCAAAAGCAATATTGGCATGACTCATTCCAAATTGTGACAGCAGCAAATACATATCATTCTAACTGATTGATACACCAACATTCCCAACATGAGATCATTGCATAAGCTGAATTTCAGGCACATTGATGGCACTACTTTCTTTTTCTTTTATGCATTTAGTACAGCATCTACAGGGTCTCACTACACAGATCAGACCTAGAGTGATCCTCCTGTTTGCAGCCTCCCAAGCACTGATTAAGGGTGCACACTACCACACCCAGCCTCATTCTCATTCTCAGCTTGCCCCAGGTGTGAGGGGTGGCTGGCATTCCAAGCTGAGCATTAAATCCTGGTCCAGCACCTGCCTAAGCAAAGGCTTTAGTCTGCTGAACTATCTGGGCAGCCCTATGACATTAAATTCTAGTGGAACTAATCTACTGATATATGCATACACTCTCTTTCAAATAAATGAGAGGCGATATGCCTGACAATCACACTTCAAAATGCCATCTGAGATTCAGCCCTTGAAAAAGTGACTAATACTTACACAAAAATGCAATTTTGAGAAGGAAAACCAATATTGAAGAAGTACTTTCACAATTTACACTAATGAAGATATACTTTGGTCATAAATACAGGCGTACAGATCCAGAGAAATACTGAAGGTCCCAAAATGAAATAATGCATAACACGGTTCATCAATTTTCAACAAATTTGCCAATAGAGATAAAAGGAAAATAACAGTTACTATAATGGAGCACACAGAAGCATTACTGTGATTAGGAATATGGTTTGCGGGTCCAGCCAAATAGCTCAACAGATCAAAGCACATGCAAGCTGGTGCAGGGGATAGGGGCTCGATCCCCACGCCAGCCATGCTAGCCATGCCAGCCCCACACCACGGGTTATGCTGAAACAGCAGTTGAGATTGGGCATCATGGTGCATGCCTATAATCCCAGCTCTTCAGAGGCTGTACAGAGAAGAATCACTATGAGTCCAATCTAGTAGTGAGAACTCAGCACCCTGTAGACCCTTCCCTAAAAAATACAGGGAAAAAAAGAGAATCATTTGCAACTAGAATATAGTGATGATTATCTACTGTCACACATTTCTCATATCTCAACTTCACAAATTAAATGATCACATTTTATTGGTTGTATGTTACTTCTCAAAAAATATGAATGAGTGAAAATTAAGAGCTTGGAATGAGAAGACATGCTCAGCACACGTTACTAAACATAACTACACAAAATATCATAATTATGCAAACAAATCAGTAAGAAAACTACCTCCAAGAACAACAATTTATGTATCTCACTGGTAGAAAAAAATCCAAATGACATCTCACTATGACAGCACGTTTAATTGTACAAACAATAAGGGAATTACAAACTTAAATGCAAAGCATAATCCAACCACTGGAAGAAAAGAACTAAATTGTAGGATTCCCTGATCTCAGGGCTAACAAGGATATGACAGCAGCAAAAGCAAAGTATGCTACACTGCAGTGTGGGGTGCTACACTTGCTGGAGATACCAATTTAACATCCAGAGAAGCTGACAAAAATCTCACTAGCCCAACTTCACCTCTGGGGTTTGGCCAAAGAAAATCCTGCCCATGCAAAGGAGTAAAAATCTACAGAAACTGCATTTGGAACTTCTGCTAATAAGAAAATAAGAAATGACTTCATGTCTATGAATAACGAAATGTAGAAATAAAATAGGGCATTCATTAAATGGTTAAATTAAGGAAATGAATATTCCAGATACAGAGTGTTCAAATACAGAATACTGAGGGAAATGTTGCAGAGTGGCACATTCAGTAGGAAAGCATCTATGTGGACTTAAGGCATGTGTAACCATGCCTGCCAGTGGATCAGATGACTCCCCGTGCACTTATGGCAAGGAATCTCACTGGGAGAGGAAAGAGGTACCTGAGCCTCAAAGTAAATGAAGGTTACTTTGGTGTTACTTAAATGTTTAAATTATTTTGAAGTGGAAATGATAGAAGATTAGCATTTTTATTCCAATCACAAATCACTAAGTGCTCTGGATGTTTCTCTAAATCTTAAACATTAAGAAATATTTAATTCATTCAATACTTTTAAAAATAAAACATGAAGAATTTCAATTAATCTCTTTTATTATGACTTTACTTTCAGAACAAGTAAGTTTTTGCCATGAATATATCAGTAAATATCAGCCTACAAACTGAATTTGCTAATATGCTGTTGTTGTGGTTCAACACTCTAGAAATTGAGGATTTACATAAATATCATTTTAAGGCCAGGTAGTATGTGACTAAATAAATTATTTTTCTTCCTCTTTCTCATTTGCATTTGCGTGGACCAAAATTCTACTTGTGGACTACCACTAGCATTGTTGGTATAACTACTTTTTTGAGACCTTCATGTGATCAAAGTGTTCACTCACATGGTGTCCAAGGGTGACAGACCCTTGGAAAACCCTCTTCAGTGCTTGTTCTTCTGGCTTATTACCTTGGCAAGTACTTCTATTCTAACATTAAGTCTTTGATTTCACACAAAGATGGCCATTTGGAATTCATTAATGAAGAAAGGAACTTGAAAACTATGTTCAATGATGAGAACATTGCAGCCCATGGGACCACTCAGACCCAGCCCAAGACCAGTTTGTGAGTGAGAACTTCCACCACACTCTCAGTACCCATGCAGACCCAGCCAAAGACTAGACCGGGTGACTGTGTGGGAGAGCTTCTGCATTCCTCTGTGCCAGCAGTACCCCACCAGACCCAGCCTGAGCCCAGCCTGTGAGTGAGAACTTCCGCTGTGATCTCAGTATCCCTCCAGAACAACCCCAACCTCAGGTCTGGTGAGGGTGTGGGAGAGCTTCTGTGCTCCCCTGTATGTGCTAAACCCCTCTGTACCCAGTCCAAGCGTGGCCTACCCAGACCAAGCCTGCATACAGGTCTGGGGTGAAACTCTGCAGCTGAAGTCATTGCAGACAGGCTAGGGACCAAAATCAACCAGCAAAACATCTACCCAAAAGGGCACAACAGGTCCACTTCCAAGGAATGCAGCAGAAAGAAGCTGAGTAGAGCAGCCAGAACCAAGCCAGGCACAACTGGATGAATTCAATCTACATAGATCTACACCTGAATTGCACAAGGTGCTAAAGTTATAATGACACCAAAGTTCTACACTAAAGGACAGAGGACAGTGCTACACAAAATAACAAAGAGAAAGAGCAAAATGCCATCCCAGGCCCTGGGCCAACCAAGAACAAGTCCACAAGACAATAGCACAGAAGAAATTGTGAATCACACAACTGAAATATCTGAATGAATAGTGTCTCAAGTAAAGAAACAACTGCAGAAAGGTATAGAGAAAATCAGATCAGAAAGAATGACTGAAATAAAAAAAGAAATCTCTGAA